TACTTATTTTAAATACTGCTATCCATGTTTCCAAACAAAAGGTTAAAGTACTTCTACTTTAATAAGATAGATAGCAAATCTTTGTAACAATAAATACCAGATCTTATTAAATATTGATATCTATGTTTCCAAACTTACTTATTTTAAATACTGCTATCCATGTTTCCAAACAAAAGGTTAAAGTACTTCTACTTTAATAGGATAGATATTTTCAAATACTTGGTTAATTTTGTTTAGGTATTTCATTTGTGGATTGGTTGGACACTGAGCCAAGGGATTTAAGTAAAAGTTCTTGCAACAAACGCAGGACCAACCGGACCGTTTCAAAACGTAGTTCCATCCCCTTAACATGTCTTTGCTTTCTTATGTTGTACCAGTGGAACCCTCAACACATAGCTCTTTTTTCTTCAACACCGCTCTCATCCTCTTCTCTGCCTCTGTTGACAGCACAGGCACCGGCGCTTTCCCATGAGACTGCAGCGGGGGCTTCTTTGCCATTGTTTGCATGTTCAACTGCAGGAGGTCAACAACAACACCTCAACCAAAACCGTCAGGAACTTCCTTCTAATGCTACCAGCACAAAGTTTGATCTTAAGTTATAATTATGCTTTATGCAGTCAAAAAGTAAGGCGCAGTTCACTCCACTTCCCACACATTACTGACCATTCAAAAAGAGATCGGGTCACAGAGACTTGCAAATATTGCAGAGACAAATACGTATACCATAAAAGGAAGAAGACTAAAAATCCAAGAGGCAGAAATTAGTCAGACATACGACTGGGAATTGGTTGAAACAAACAAATGGTTTACAAACGATTATGTCGAAAATGATTCTGAGATTCTGGGTGCAAAGATAGATAGGATTGAGAGAAGATGCATGAAGATCTATGAATTGAATGCTCACCAAAAGTTTGACCGGATTTGGATGTTGAAGAAAGAAAGAGAGAAGAAGAAAATGAGAGCATTTGATGAATGGGCTACAAAAAAAAACTGCGAATCGTGAACAGACACGACTCTTCAAGGAGATGATAATGGTTCTGCAAGCGTTGCCTTTGAGGAGTTATGACTTGTAAACTGAAGAGAACGATTTAATTGATGACATCATAGGCCTATAGTAAACAAATATTAGCCATTAGATTGTATTCTCTGAACAAATTTCACCGTGGGATAACAATTTTTATTTCCTATAAAAAAAATAGATCATTAATATTTTATAACTAACTTTTTGAAAAGATGTAATGTTTCAAAACATATATTTTAAACAGAGACCTTTTAACTAACTTTTGAATAGATGCATTGTTTCAAAACATAAATTTTAAACAGAATCTTTTTATGATAATAATACACGTGCTAAATAGAAAAAATAGTTTTATACACTAATACTAAATTACAATCTTTCAAAATATATGTAAAAAGACTTTTTAGGATAATAAAAATATAAAATTACAATCTTTCAACTTAATTGAGTTTTGCACCCTTTCACATTAATGGGGATTGTTATTATTAGTAGATTTTCAAAATTTCTACATATTTTTAAAAAATTAATAAATTCTTAATAATAATATCATTATTTACTTTTAGATATCGATTTTTTTATAAATATTGTTTAGTTATACTTTGTAATAAAATATATAAAATTAACAAATGTCTTTCATACTTAATTTTAATAATTTTAATCAAACTTTTATGTTGTTTTAAATTAATAAAATATAAAATAATAAAAATTTGTAAGAAAACTTTATCCATATGTGCGGATAAAATATCTAGTTTTTTATTATATTAGATACCATCATGGCTAAAAATTAGTTAACGTTATGAAAGACTATATACTGTATGAATGGATCTTTACAAAAAAAAAAAAAAAAAAACTATACTGTAAATATATATCTGGAAAATCTCGACCGGCTCAGATGATGGCACGTGCCCCTATTGCAATGTGATCTGATCCAAACCTATTTATATTCTTCGCTGCTTTTTTTTTTGTTGTTCTGTCTTGACCGCTCCTTCCGATCTCTGGATTCCTCTCCTCTCTTCGTCGCCAAATCCTTCCCAGTTTCCGTCAAGCCCTAGGTGAGCTTATCCGGTTTGATTTAGGGTTTTATTTTTTGGGAAAATTGCCCCAAAATTGATTGCTTCTGTATTCAATCAGATTCAAAGACGGGGCCAATTTCGATTTACGAGATTCGAGAAGATGGCTACAACGACGACGACGAGTGGTGTCTATATCCAAGTCATCGAGGACGTTGTCAGCAAAGTCCGTGAAGAGTTCATTAACAACGGAGGTCCTGGCGAGAGTGTTCTCTCTGAGCTTCAAGGAGTAAGTTTTTTTTTTCGATTAAAGATTGGAACTTTCGATTAGGGTTTTGTTTATTAGCTGGAAAAGGATTGAACTTTGGTGATTTTTAGTGGAATTGGATCTAGGGTTTCTGATTTTTTTGGGATGATATTTAGATTTGGGAGACGAAGATGATGCAAGCGGGAGTCTTGTCTGGACCAATTGATAGGTCATCTGCTCAGAGGTCAACACCTGGAGGTCCATTGACTCATGATTTGAATGTTCCTTATGAAGGTACTGAGGAGTATGAGACTCCTACTGCTGAAATGCTCTTTCCTCCGGTGAGTAGAGTTACAGTACTTAGGTTTTGAGTCTGTGATTGAGAAATGAATGGCTTCTCTTTGAGATCTTGTTGTAAAACCATGTTGTCTTTAATGTGTTGAGCAGACACCGATGCAGACTCCTCTTCCAACTCCACTTCCGGGGACTGCTGATAATTCATCAATGTATAACATCCCTACTGGCTCAAGTGATTATCCAACTCCGGGGACTGAGAATGGGAGCCATGGTGATGTCAAAGCTAGACCTAGTCCTTATATGGTGAGCAGCAGCTCTACCTCTCCTTTTAATAGATGTTGTGATTCTGTGTAGTTTTACTGCTTATCCAAGTGTTTGTGAAGACTTTTTCACAGGCAATTGACTTTGTATTTTCTGAATTTTTTTTTGTTTGCATAAACTAAGAATATGCTCTTTTTTTGCAGCAACCTCCTTCTCCATGGACAAATCCAAGGCCTGATGTCAATGTTGGTAAGTTCTAGTTTTACAAGCATTTAATTTCTCTTTTTTGTTTGGGATTTAAACGTCTGATCTACTGCTAGCTTATGTGGATGGCCGTGATGAACCTGAGAGAGGGAACTCTAGTCAGCAGTTTACGCAGGTACTTCTAAGTATTATCTATATCAAGAATCATGAGTTTGGCTTCTTAATTTAGGTTCAGATGTTCTTTGCAACACTCACGTGGTTGATTTGATTAGTGCGCTTTTCAAGTACTTGTACAGATTTTTTTTAAGGTCATATTCCTGAACTATGCAATACTTTCAGGACCTATTTGTGCCACCTTCCGGGAAAAGAAAGCGTGATGATTCTTCTGCACAATATCAAAATGGTCGGTCTATACCACAACAGGATGGTGCAAGCGATGATATGCCTCAGGTGTGTGCGTAGAACAATACATTTCCATTTACATTTAGAATTAGCTCACTTGAGAAAAATAGATCTTCCTTATCTCTCTTCATTTCTTAATTAAAAAAACAACTTAGGGAGAAGACTTTTCTTTGGTTGTCACTTCACAAGTTTATGGATGCCTACCAAAAGGAAATACACATGATAGCAATAATGCATGCACAAGTTTATGAAATCTCTCAGTGATCAGATGTATAAGCAACAAATTTGCAGGTAAACATTGAGGGTGATACATTCTGCATAACCTTTGTTGGTGAAAGAAAGGTTCCACGAGATTTTCTCTGCTCATCTTCAAAGATTCCTCAAGTTGATGGGCCAATGCCTGACCCTTACGATGAAATGTTGTCGACACCAAATGTAAAGAATGCTCAGCTTTTCCATTGAGTAGGCAAAATTGGTATAGATATATACTTATGCTAGTAATTCAATGACAATGCGTTGCAGATATACAGCTATCAAGGACCCAATGAAGACTTAAACGAAGGCAGAACTCCTGCTCCAAACGGTAAGACCAGCCAAGCAAAAATGTTGTGGAGTGTATTATTGTGAAACCGAAAGAATATGTTGTGCTGAAATTCCTCTTTGTTAGAGATCCAAGTGACCACTCCTGCTGCTGTACAAAACGATATCATTGAAGATGATGAAGAGCTGTTGAATGAAGATGATGATGACGACGAGTTAGATGACTTAGAAAGTGGTGAGGATATGAACACGCAACATCTTGTTTTGGCTCAATTTGACAAGGTAATAACTCCTGTCAGGTTTCCGGGTGTGCGTTTGTTTGTCTGCACTTTAACTCTAATCACGTTAAGACTTGTTTTTGGTGTTGTATATAAATTAGGTGACTCGGACAAAGAGCAGGTGGAAGTGTAATCTGAAAGACGGGATCATGCATATAAACGATAAGGACATTCTGTTCAACAAAGTAATATGTGCCTTCCTAACAAAGCTTGGAGCTATTATGGTGTCGATAATACTAACAAATGCTCTTGTCTACTTTTCCAGGCAGCAGGCGAGTTTGACTTCTGATCTTTGACAATAGCAATGCGTATGGGAGAAGTCAGTCCTTACAGTGTCCAGTGTCTTTCTTTTTCTTCATGAATTTAGACCAGTCTCTATGAGAAAGACAGTGATTATTTATGGGGAAGTGCACCTGGTTAGCTTGTTGTAAAAAAAGATGATTTTTCCGGTTCACACGATGGGAAATTAACATTGCCAAAAGCTCTTATTATCTCTTTCCAGAGCATCTTGAGATAATATGTTTATTTTGAAACATCAAGGCGATTCCTAAATACTAAGATCCTCACTGTGAACTATCTACAAGCATGAGTTTGGTCTGAAGCATCTACTATTATTAAAAGGCCGATATAAGAAGATTTCAGCCTGTCCACGTCGACATAAATAATCAACCAATAGGAAATCTGGATTCGAACACGTCAGCACGGCTCATTTGACCAAAAAAAAAATCTGTGGAACCCTAAAAAAAAGACGCGAAGACTTCTTCATCGCTTCCTCTCCTCCTCCCCGTGTTGCTCTTCCTCTTCGTTTCTTCCTCTTCGTTTTCCTCGCTTCCTCTAATCCATCTCTGTGTTTGCTCCGCCAAATCTGACGAAGTGTTGTTCTTCAGAGATCTCCACGTTTGACCTCCTCTCTCTTACACGCCTTCAGGTCTCCTTTCTAGCATGATTCTCTCTCTCCCGTGCCTCTCTCTCTCGCCGGACCTCTCTCACGGTTACCTCTCTCTCTCTATTCTCTGTTTTTCTGTGTGTGTGAGTTTTGATTCAGATTTGCTTTTGTTTTTGGTGGAGGATGGAGAAAAAGCTTTGAGAAGCTTTCTACAGACCTGCTCATATAAAGCATGCTCTGTTCTTATTCAAGGTACTTCTTTTTTCTGGGTTTGGTTTTGATTCATGTTTAAGAAGATTTTTAGGACCCCAAGTATTGCAACTTTCAAGATTTGATATTGACATTGCACAATATTTTTTTTTGGGTTTTGTGTGATTTGTAAGAAAAGATTGGAACTTTTATGGGTGTTTCCACATTTTTAGCACTAAGTGTTAAAACTTATTTGGTAAAATGAGTTTTTGTGGATCAAAGCTATTTTTTTGTGTGAAAACAACCATTTGTCGGTGACTAAAAAGCTTGGTTGTTTAGGAACTTGAAGGTTTAGCTGACCCGAAGTTGCTTTGGTTAGAAGAAGATTGATTTGGTCAATAAGGAGTTAAAAGCCATTGGGTCATACTGTTCAGAGAAAAGGTTAGGAACGAGAGTACACAGAAGCTCTTGAAGCATTCAACGAAAAGAATAGGGAGAAGGTGCAGCTAATCACCAGGCTTTTGGAGGTATTCTGGTTATGTATTGTATTTTTTTCATATTGACCTTGCCTATTGATCTGATAACTGTGAGTCCTTATGAACAATTCTTATTGTTATTTAGAAAATATCTTGGATGAGCATTTTTTATTTGTTTATGCTTTCCTAACCTTACATGATGAGCGTTCAAAACTCACATGATCTTGAGTTGAGGCTTAACCACATGGGTGAGCATTTTTTATTTGTTTATGCTTTCCTAACCTTAGATTAAGTTCAGCTTAAATTTATTGTATTCAGCAACGGAGATGCCTAATCTTGAGATAAACCTCTGGGACTTCAACAGAAAACAAGACGAGTGTTTTATGGGCTTGACGCTGGCTGTAAAACCAAGTGTTCCTAAACTGGGTAAACTGTAGAGTACATGCATGGTCATATGATTACACACATTGACATTGCAACAAAAAAAATTGCAGAAATGGTCTGCAATGCATCTCAGGACATGACTGAGGTAAACTTTTAGACCCCATGAAGCTGTGATGAACTTCTCATTGAGCTGTTGTAATGAAATCTCTTTTGGTTTACAATGCAGAATTTTCTCTTTTGCCCCATGGTTAACAATGATCGTGAACCATCAGGTGAGTGTTTGATTAAAACTTAAGCTTATGTGTTAGTTATGTTTCTCTGTATTGAGCTTTTTTTTTTTGGAAACATTTACAGTTTTCTGGTCTCTGCTCTCTGGTTTTTGTACACCTGTTGAATCATCATGTCCTCTATCTCTGTACTTCAGGTGAGAATGATTCCATGTTTTCTTATAATGAATCCATTACTGTGTTAACATAAATTTTTTGCTGTTGTGAGCAGTGCAATGCAGCAACACACAAGCGTGGGACCTCCACCACAGTCAACAACAGGGTTCACCATGGGATCATCGATGCAACCTAACATGTTGGACCGCCCATGGATGGCTGTGTCTGCGCCCTTTCAACAGGGTCACAAACATGATCCTAATAATGAGATTTTCTCGATGGTGTTAGAAGGTACATGGAGAAATTATTCACTCTGTTATCTTAGTAGCCTAAGTTACAATCAGTAAAAAAATTATGCAGATGTGTACAATAGATCAACAAGTAAACTATGGTGACCTTACTCCCGAGGAGTTTAAGGAAATACTGGTAAAAATTCTAACTCACTGTTATGTATTCCTTTCAGTTTAGACACAACCAGTGGGTTTATCTTATTTATTTTTCTTCTTGCAGACAAGCGGAACGCAACTGCAAGACCCAACAATCCAAAAAATTCTCATAGATCCTGTAGTGAGAAGGTAAAGAAACGAACTTGACTTCTCTATATTTTCTCAATTCAGAAATCAATGTTTGGTTTTGATCTGCTAGAGCAATCCATATTGATGTTAATGATTTCTTATCAAAACCTAAGACTTCTCTTTGAACAGGTACTTCTGATATGTGATTTTGACTTACCAGAAATCTCTTACGGAGGACCACAAGCCAGATACGTTGAAGAGGCTGAATAAGGCTGTGAAATTCAAGAAAGAGTTAGAGCAGAAAGAGTATTCTGATCTCAGTATTAGTGATGCAGAGCCTTAGAAAGGTTATTTCTTTTTGCAGTTATATATTGGTAAAGAGAGTTGAACTAACATCATGTTGTGTTTCAAATACAGGTATTGAACTCTTCAAGGAGAAGAAGTATCATGATGCTGGGAGACATTACCCTGAAGCGATCAAAAGGAACCCAGAAGACTTGAGAGCAAAGTCATTTCTAATCATCTTATGTGCTTCAGTATTGTGATGCATACAAAACCTTCCGTATTTTAATACAATCAAACGAAAATAAGGTTTAATATATATAATTATATATTTACGTGGAATCAATAGAAACTGCAACAGCTTGAGAATATAACATCTACACGTTTTTTTCTCTGTTGTTATAGTAACCAAGTTTGTGTAATATCAACTTTAGAATACAATATCTCCAGTCATTTGAATTGTTTAGATAGATTTTGAGAACCTTTTTAAAAATTTTAGACGATTTTAAATGATTTGGCAGTTACTGCATGCCTACATCAAAGAGTTGAATAATTAAGAATATACACAACACACAAGGATGATGTCATATAAAATTCCTTTACCAAATAAAAAAGTAGTATCACGTTTGAAAAGGTTGACAAAAGTTTAAAGATGTCATGGCATACAAATTTTTACTAAAATTCTGATTAGGGTTACTGCACTCTTTAAATGTTAGAGTCGTTAGTGAAATTAAAACTTTGCCTTTTCTATGAAGACAATTACAAAAAAATTATTCCAGTTTAACTTTGTTGAAGTTGAAAAGTATTCGAGCTATAATAATTTTTACGAATTAGAAAGAATGATTCCATTCAAAAAAATGGTAGTCATGGATCATATAGCAGACAAACGGAAGTATAGAAAAAAATATATATGAAATTTAAACTATCAATTGATTTAAGTTTTAGCCTATAATTTTAGCTTTTTTATGTAATAATATTTCAAACAGTTAGCTGTAATTTCTATTTAGTAAAAAACACTAAATATGTATATATATATATATATATATATATATATATATGATTCATATTCAAATAAAGTAATATAGATATAACTAAAGTATAAAATTAACGGCAATAACCTGGGCGTAGCCCGGGAAAAATCTCTAGTAGTTTATAAAAGCCATTTGTTTGCTATGATCGGCCTTTGTCGAATATTGCCAGGCTTCCTTCTGGTCCGTTGAAACAAAGAGATGTGAAAGCAGAGGAATAACTGTGGTTGCAACCGCATTACAAGACGGCTGCAAGAAGAGATTCTCGGGAATACAGTCAAGATTCAGAAGTGTGGGTGCTTGCCTCTGCAGCCTAGTCAGTGGTGATCTTGAACCAATGGTTATAAAAGTAAAAAGAGAGGGAGGAAAGTAGTGTGAAGAGCTGTTGGTTTCTGTTACAGGTTGTGCCTTTGGACATCTTTTAGTTTGGTCAACGGCCCAAGAAAAGATCAAAACGTCTTTGATGTTGGTTTGCATGGTTGTTATTATGTAACTACAACGGCCCAACCGCCTGGTCTTTGTTTGTTGCAAACGTTTTAAAACGTTCAGGTTTTTATCCTTAATAGTACTTTTTAAATCAAGGTAAGGAATAAATTTTTGATATATATTCATAAATCTAAGCCGAATTCAAACTAATTTTCGCAAACGTTTTTATTGGAATTTAAGTAATATTTTATCATGCATTTGATAAAATCGAGCATTTTGTTTCAAAGTCTGAAAAAAGAAACCGGGCCTCGTGGTCTGGTGGTAAAGGAACCTCGGCTGAGGTGCCCGCCATCACGAGTTCGAGCCCCGGCCACAGCGGATTTAACATGGTTTCCGTTTGGCCTTCAGGACCCCTTCGGGGGATAGTCGGGTCTCTAAATAAGCCCCGGACACCTGAGTTATCAAAAAAAAAAAAAAAAAAAAAAAAGTCTGAAAAAAGAAACTATCCTCAAAGCTACTTTGACCTCGATCAAAACGAACAGTCGCCACAAAAGTTCTGATTCCTACTTAACCACTTTGGTTCCCGCAGTTTCAAAATCAGAAGCTGCTACGGTGCTACCTACACCGTCAGATTTTATCTTCTTAACAGATCCAACGTCTCTCTTACCGCCATGTCATCATTTGTCCAAACTCGTTAATACGTAATAAAAGTTTTCTGACACTGTTCACTTTATCTATCTTGTACTTTTGTGTTTGATTTCTCACCTGAGAAGTCTGAGTTTCCATCCTTTTAATATCTCTCGCCTATACGTATTAGTATTACGTAACAATTTCTCCGTACCAATTATTTTGAGTTATTATTTTTGCAATAATTGTAAAACGCGAATTTGACCAATGTAATAGTGTTTCCTCCGAAGAACTACTCCGAAAAATAGTTGTTTTCAAAAAAAAAAAGTTGTAAAACGCTTTTGGATAAATATGTGACGTGATCACTTTATTTTCTGATTAAATCCAAAACACTTATGATCATGAACATTATCGTCAGAGTCAAAAAGAGACAAAGATTGTGTGGTTCACAAATTTTCATTGGATTCTTCAGTATCTCGAATTCTTTTCCCGCTCCTAAGAAGGACGATTAGTTTTATTCATGTCAGTAACACGAAATTGTGTCCAAGTACGTACATTCCTTAGATTCCTATACACATTTATTAATTATAATCTTAAAGATAAATATAATATGGCTTTGTTCATATAAATATTAGTTTATTTGGTTTCATATATAGAAAAAATTAGGTTTGGCAAGAGGGAATCTTACTTCTATAAACGAGACAAAAAGGTGTAAAAAGAATACTGCCACAAGTGCAAAAATGAATACATTATTTATTAAAAATATAAGTTCTTTTACCAATATATATATATTTAGGTTCTAAAAAACAAAGAATAAGACTACTTACTAATCTTTAAGAGTTTATTTTGCATGGGGTTTGATGTTCTAATCCAATTAGTCAATGTAATAACAAAAACGGAAAATGTTACAAATCCAAAATATATATATTTATCGTGTTGGCACTTGGCCATATGGAGATCTAGGCTAGGAATCATGTTTATTGACCACACTACTACCTCATCAGGTTAATAGTATATTCATGACCTTAACTAGAACGCATTATCGTTTTTAAAAGTATTGTTTGAAGTCTAATCACGGCTATAGCATAAACGTTGCCAAAATGCCATATGGAGCCAAAGAAATTAAGTAGTAAATAACTATATGAAAAACACTCAGATCTGTTGACCAAAAATAACCTCAGATCTTTGACCAAATAAATTATCATTGGTTGTTATTAAATTATTTTCCAGACATGAAAGTGACTATTCGATTTAATCCGAAACAAAATAATTGTACGTCTCGACACATCGACCCTCCATCCAGATTGTGGCATAAAATTTCCACTTTATTTTAAATGTTAGAAGTTATTTATACATTTGTATACTCTCTCTCAACACAAATTAACAATAACATATTAATTATCAAAGTAATATTTTTGTAATAATCTATTTCTTACAATGTACTAGTATAGAAACTTGTAGCAAAAACCTAGAGTAGAGAATCAAACTGATCTAATACCAAAACAGAAAGAAAAAAATATATAAAATGCATGAGATCTAGGCTAGGAATCATGTTTATGCCAACAAACAAGCATAGCCACACACCTTCTCATGATGTAAAACCTACCCTTCTGTTCTTTGGCTATGCTACTGTACTTTTGAGTAATGGAAGATGATGATGATGATGATGATCCTTTCTCTTTCTTCGAGGTGCTTCTTGCCATGGAGGAAGAAGAAGATGACACTGAGCATTTGGTGGAGGAGCTCCGTACGAATACGGGAGCCTTTGTGGAGGACGCACTCGTCGAGAAGCTCCTAGAGAACTTGGATTTGGAGGAACTAGAAGATGAGCATGACGCAGCTGATGCATCCTTTTTTGACAGCTTCCACTTCTCACTCATGTTTTTTTTTTAAACTTGATTGTGAGTTTGTGGTGATCGAGCTAAAAGGAGGGATAGTGATCTAGAGAGAGGGAGAGAGAAGAGAGCTGTTTATATACAGATTGAGTGCTTCCAAAATAAAACTAAATAAATAAATTGTAATGCTGAAGACAGCAGAATGAACTGGAATTATGAATTAATTGATTTAAATCATACATGTATTGATTAGCTCGGCTTGGGTAATATGCAACCATTATTTAACTATCATAATTTTTATGTGTCCTGACCTCATCATGTGGTCCAGATTAAAAACCGATCTTTGCGTGGCTGAAGATGAGTACTAATTAGTTCGGTCTTAGACACTTGAGAGTCCGCGTGTAAATTATCCAATAGCCGATATCATATTTTATTTATTTATTTTATATATTTCTTCCCTTTACTATACCTTTCTGACTTAGTTTCACATGTCTAATTCTATTTAAATTGCTCAAAACTAGGGTTAATACGTTGGTTCGGAGAGTAAATTCTAAATCATCATTTTTGCTTTGTAGGTACCATATTTTCAAAATGACATGAAGCTTTAGAACTAATGTGAATAACTCAATATATATGGTTGAAAAAAAAACAAGAAAACAAAGACGTTATTAATCTTATCAACGTCACGTGAGGGAGAGAGAACACAATAAATTGTATCCGCACTACGTGTGTTTACGGTCTATTTCAAAATAGTTACGCAAATAAAATGGCATGGTAAAACGGAAACCATAAGAAAATTTGTAAAAGTAGATCACTATTTCTAAAACTGGTTGGTCTTAGAGTAAAGCTTCCATGGACTGCAAAATAAATTTATGGAAGCATACCTACGGCTATCTATATATATACGAGTCAATGACAATGATCCAACAGAAAGTATATTATTGACTAGCGATTCAAGTAGTCCCACTTTAAACAGTTTTTTTGCTAAATTAGTCCCACTTAAACATCGTGCCTTGATCATAAAACTACTTTAAATAACGCCACTAGATAAATCTTCAGGATAAAACGACTTTGAAAGATTTTATAAAAGAGAAATTTCTAGAACATATTATTGTTATTATTATCTTTCTTTGTCCTCGCTACTGTTTCATGTTTAACGAGAAGGACACTGCGTTCAAATTTGTCTACAATCGTTTAATTCTAGGCGGGGTCTTGTCTCTCGAGCTGTATGATGAATCTGTGATCTACAGTTAAAAGAGTTTTTCAGTTTTAACTCTTTGGTGAAAATATAAATTTGGAAGTGTAGGGGAGCAAAGAGGGACGGGAGGAAAAGTGTATCTCACGATAAATACTTATGAAATCGGGACCAAGAGTAGACAGCTTTGGTCTAATAATATTCCACATGTCTTTCACTTCTGTTTTCAAAACAGCCTGGGTTTCCTGAAAACAACTCATTCAACTGACCACAGTTTATTAACACTCTGCGTACGTACTTTCTACCATTTTCATCTTTTAAAATCAGCCTAAGAGGAATAAGTGACATATATTAGTAATGAACCAATGATTAAAGATGTTTAAAACATTTATTTTGTTACAACCTCGTTTCACCTTCCGTTATAAACTTTCTTTTGAGGTAAATTTTTCTCTAATTCTATTTTTATATAAACTTCATAAAATGAAACCAAGATTACTCCAAAAAATCAAACAATGCTTTATTATTCTATTCATTATTCTTTTTTATTTTCAAATTAGAATAATATTAAAATAAAATTTCACTCTCTTTTGGAGTTATTCACTCTAGTGTTTACCCTAAAATAAAATAATATAGTGGAGATGCTCTAACGTCAACGTTTCACAATACAAATTGCAGAGTGATTTCAAACATTTGATATTCCGTTTGTTAGCCTATAAGTGGATACTAACTCCGTTTTGAAGTGATTCAAATGTGCGCTGAAAAGCTTGTGGTTGTAACTATCCTTCTGAGTTGGGAAAGTCTTTTTGTCTTGAACACAATTTGGAAAGTGTTGACGTTAAGTATTGTTGTCCATAACCGGTACGTCTGTGTGCATTAACCAAATGCCTCAAATGCATTAGCCTGAAAGCCTTTTTTTGCATGCATCTAAAAAGACATGGAAAATTGAAAAGGTTTCGGATTTTGTGAATCAGCGTTTGAGTGAATTATATTTTACCTACTAAAACAACCATAGAAACTCATTATAAACCTCAAATTCCACATCATTTAAATGTGCGTTGAAAACCTCTAATTTTTTTTCTTAAACACGGATCAAACAGAGGAACGAATCAAAACTTGGACAAAGGGAGATGAGGAACGCTCGGACCTTGGTTTTTGCTTATCCTCTGATTTGTTGCATACTTTCCATTGTTCAATGTATATGACATTAGCCAGATATAAGACATAGATATACATACCATTACTCTCGTTTTGTAACTACTGCCATATGACCACATATCATTCCATTCAAATGCACATATATAGAAAGAAGTCGATTTCATAAAATCCAATAATACATTAGTACAACGACCGTCTACATACAATAGAGGAATAACCCCGCCAGAAAACAAAAACATCAAAAACAAAAACATCAAAAACCAAAACAGGTTCAACACAAAACAAGATCATACAAACACTGTATTGCGTTTCCTTCATTAATATTACATCATACAAGCCTAGGTTTCACATGACCATGCGCATATAGATAGTCAAAAGATTATATGTAGCAATCTAAGCGCAGCTTTCTTGCCTTATGGAGGCTGCAACCGCCGAAAAGAATAGTTCTAGTTCCGGACACTGAAAGTTTCTTCGGTGGTTGCCGTTTCTTTCCAAAGTTGAACGATCTTTTCCTTCTCACCGGTGGTGGACACGGCGGATAAGCTGGTATCCGGCATTCATCACGCGTAGGCGTCTTGCATCCCATGTGATAGTCTTCATCAATGGCCACCGTCTCTCCGTCGTAGCAACTAAACCCTTTATCCATTTCTTCCTCTCTTTTGCACTCTTTTTGCTAACTTCTCTTACTTAATGAGAGTCTTAATTGCCTCTTTATTAGTATTCTAGCTAGTAGTTTTGGTGTGCCGTAGCTTGTTCTGGAAGTTGCCAGGGGTTGTAATGTACTTGTGGTGTAGAAATTGACACGTGGTGGAACATACTGCTACGTGGCAAAGCATAGGTGATCTCAGGTAGAAATGTTGCCACACACACTTGACTTGACTTGAGTCATAGAAAAAGTTTATAATGTGGCTTCAACAATAATAAAACACGATAATGTATCTTAAAGTTTTGGTGATGGAGAGATTGTTCTTTGTGGGAATGTGACCTTAACATTGTAGATACTCTTCAGTTAATTTTACTTTTTAAACTCACCTTAAGCACTTTTGAGCTTAGTTGTTTGCGGCATGGAACATGACACATCTTGTTATCTAATATATGTAATACTCCCTCCGTTTCTTAATATATTCGGTTGATGCACAAAAATTAAAAAAATTTACATTTTTCTAAAAAGCACTTTAAATAATATAATATTATAATCATTCAACCAATTATAAAAAAGACTGTAAAATTTTATTAGTTGAATAGTTTCCAATAAAATTAAAATTAACCTTAAAATTTCAAAAAATATCTTAAAACTTCCAAACATCATATATTTTGAAATAAATTAAACCTTCTAAAACGTCATATAATTTGAAGAAACAGAGGGAGTATTATCATAGGATATAATATTACTTCTTCCTGATGAGTGTTTGTTCGTTCTCTGGAATATAATACGAGATTAATCATAAAAAAACCATTAATTCATCATAAAAACCATTAATACATGCAACAAATGCTAATGCAACAAAAAAAATGTTATTGCAACACAACTTTATAAACAAGACATTCTAAAAAAGTTAGCTTCTCATTATTTATGCAACATAAGATTGCTTGAACATAGAATACTCTCTTATGCTATTACACATGCTATGGTCACAAGCATATATACCAATACTCTAGTGCCCAAGAACCCCCTAACTCTCAACACCAATCAACACAAAAGCCCTACATAAAACCCAGTTACTTAGGACACAAGAAAACAACATCTTATCAAGAAGCAGGAACCCAAACAGATGAAGCATACACAATTCTACCTTTCCACCCTTGAAGCAACCAGTTACCATTCTGATCAATATCGAAATTCTTATCATACCCGCTCTCAATCTTCAACTTCAGATTCTGCATCAGCTCCTTCTCAAGCGGAAGCTGTCTAAAACCAGCTCTGATCACTCTCGCCTGCCACTGCTTATAAGTCTCAGGTCTCTCCACTCTCTCTGTCCCTTCACAAGCCACAACGTTCATAATCTCTCTTCCATAAAACTCCTTCTCAAACATAAGCCTCATCTCATCATCCCTACTCAGCTTCGAGTCACACATATCAAACAACGCCGAGTAATGAAACAAAGCTTCTCTAAACCGGGTAACAAAGAAAGGAGCGTTGTAAGAACCGCTTAGAACCGCTTGGATGAAGACATTAGGGTTTGCTTTCCTTATCAGCTTCAAAACAGCATCTCTAGGACTGTTTACAACAACTGTCTCATCCAAAAGATTCTTGAAACGGAACAGAGAGTTCACAACAACAAACTCTCCTTCTTTAATCTTCAAGTCTTCAACTCTGATCGTTTCCCACTTCTGAGCTATCGCATTGTACTCAAAGGGAACCTTATATTTTTGACAGTAACGAGCTAACCGATGACCAGTCTCATGAACTCCTTCAGCTGGTCTAAAACCACGTTGAGGCAACTCTATCCCTGTAATCCTCAGCTTAGGTGGACCACCAGGTCTAAACGAGAGACGATGAATCAGAGCAGGCCATTGAAAACCATAAGAGATCCCAAAATCTACAATATGGATGGTCTTAGCGTCTGCATTCAAACGCATCATGCTGTGGTTAGCGAATATAATCGCTGCTTTCTTGAAGGGGCAGACAGAGATGTATGTCTGGTAAGCCTTCAACATATCTGATGCAGATGTTTTCTTTGAAGATAAAGCTGTGTAGATCTGTGTACCTGTCCCAGCTAAACGCGCTTCAAGACTGTTTGCGAAGTAATGAGCTAACCTCTCTGATCCATTGCCTAGAGGAGAAGAATGCTCTCGTATCTGTCTTAGCATCTCGTTGGCGGTTCTACGATCATCCACTGATACAGCTTGTGCACATAGCACCAAGAGTGTCCTCAGATCAGCGGTTTCTTTCTTAGTTTCATTAGCTGTTGATGACTTCTTTCCACGAGCCTTTACTCCTCCATTTGAATGTGTCTCGGACTCTGCTGGAAACTTCTGGTTAACAATGCATACTGGTTGACCTGAGCCGCCACATAGCAGAATCTTATCAAACATTTCTGAAAGCTCAGTTTCCTCAACGTAAACAGCAGATTGTTTGTTACTTCTTTCTTCAAGTAAATCTTCATCTTCGTCACGCCAGTGATTTTTCTTCTTCCCTGTCAATCTGTTGGAAGGAGGAGGATGCTCTGCCTCATCTCTCTTCTCTTTCTTAACAAAGACTTCAGAGCTATTCTCCTCGAATCTAGAGTTCTTCGGAATGTAACTATCCACGTCTATAAAGAGTGGAGAAGATTTAGGAAGGAACTTATTAGCTTCATCAACACCTCTCTTGAACTGCAAAGCTAATTCACTATCTTTAAACATACTTGAAACCAAATCATCACCAAAACCAGAACTATTATTACCACCGCCAGTGACACTGTTGGATCTAGAAGTGGACTGGAACACAAAGTTACTAGGGATAGGTGTCTGTAACCAAGAAGGTCTATTACTATTCTCCAAACCATCAACGCTCCAGTGAGAATCAGAGGAAGTAGTGGTGCTAGCGTAATCACTGAAGCTTGGAAAAGAACCCTCAGGGCTATCATGGTGAGCTCCATGGTCCATAGAAGAAGGGTACTTCTCGCCAAGAGCTTCATAGAGAGACTTCTCAGCAGCTTGAAGAGCTAAAGCGTCATGAAACATACAAGGCTTCTCTTCCATGTCTTCCTCCATAAGCACTTGGCTTATGTACTTGAGAACAGAGTCAGAGAACTCAGAGTCATCAGATGGAGATGACAAGCGATCTCCTGAAGCAGCAGTTATGTTCTTCTGTGGTTGTGGATATGTCTCTGGAGGAGCGAAAGATGCGAAATTTAAGAGAGGGTCATCTAGATAGAACCCATCTTCAGATAAACCTAAGGCTTCGTTTGAGACAGACAAATCAAACCCATCTAAGGATCCACCTGAATAAGAACCCATGGATCCAGAAACCCTAAAAACCCCCAGAAAATGGAAGCTTTCGCTAAAAAATCAACTAAAGGTGGAGACTTTATATTCCTGATCAAATCATCAAAAACAGAGCAGTGAACAGAGTGAATAATAATAATAACAAAAGCAAAGAGAGATTAGAGAGAACTCATTAGCATATACATACCTCTTTGTGGGTTAAGAAGACCAAAGAGAAAAGAAGAACCTTGAGTAAGGGGAAAGGTTTGGACTTTAGAGAGAGAGAGAGAGAGAGAGGAAGAGAGAGGAAGAGAGAGTGGAGGAGCAAATGAAAGATAAGAAGAAGAAGAAGCAAGTGATGAGAGATTAATTGTTGTTTTTACTAGAAAGATATTATAAAATTAATAAAATAACAAATAAGAGAGGATAATAATAAAATAATATGCCTTTTTGATTTTTCTTTGTCTGACGGCAATAAGTCGATTCAGGAAATTTCTTCTTGTCTGAAAGAGAATCTTTCCGGATCCGGACAACTATTTTCACTGTTTTATTTTTTTACTTTTCGCCAAAATAGAAAAATCTATTTTTTCACTGTTTTATTTTTTTACTTTTCACCAAAATTGAAAAATCTAATTTTTTTTTTGTAAAATGACTGATGATTTTGTAATTTAAACATTCTTAAATGAAGGTTTGGATTTTTGTTTTTGGATGCTCTATTGAGAGGTATACTTTCGATTGCCATTGGTTTATCAAATCCTAGCCACATGAAACACATCGATCCGAAAGGATTTAACTCAGTGGTGTAGACTTTTCATAAAGATGTGGAGTTAAGAAAATGACATCTCCAATTATTTCTCTCCATTGATAGATGATGAGATCCCTAAAGAATCTTCTGTCATCTTCTCTTTGATCCTTGCGTCTAAAAAAGTGTGTGCTAGCCATCGGAAAAGGCCAAACCGAAATCATTTATTGGTACGTATATCATGTTCCATTTCCTCGTATAAACTCTTTAACCTTTTCTCGTTGTCATGGAATCTTTGCTTCTAGCTATAGTCCCCAGCCCATGTGTGTATGAGACAACTCAATGGTTTTTACATTATATCACATGAATTTTTCTGTATGTTCTTTTATCATCTGCCAATGATCTCAATGATGCTTGCTTGTACACATTTCATCTCGACCATTGTTTTTTGGTTAACTACATACGTTTTACTAGGTTTTGAACCCATATATATATATATATATATATATATATATATATATATATATATATATATATATATATATATATATGTTGAAAACGATTATAATAGTTATACAATCACGAAGATATACATGTCTTTATTGGTTCACATTTCTATGAGATGTAACAACATATTTCACTTTCTCCACATGCAAATCCAGACAAGTTTTGATGCTATACGACAGATTTGTTGATAAAGTTCATAAAACCTAATTTATTGTATGACACTATATGTGTGGATTCTCCGGAATAAACTGCATACCCTTTCTCCAAAAAAAATCAATAGGAATTAACCTGTTATTATATAACCAAGCACTGTGACTATTACACAAGACTTCACATATCTTCATCTCAATTATCTTCTCTTCACCACCTCCATTCCTTTTTTTTTATCTTATACAATGATTCTTTTCAGATACATGACATAACAAAACAAATAAAGAAATAATTAAAGTATATATTAAAGGAAAAAAAATCTTGCTCATATGTCCATTTTCACGCCTGTGAAGATGACACTTTACCCCATGCAGGTCTATAGACCAAGACTGGTCTCGAGCTTGTGGGGTGCCTCTAGCAACTGTTGTTTCCCCTGTTGCTGCGACCAGTAGGCATGAGCCATTAGTACACGGTCCAAGAGCTCCTGTGGAACTGGCTCACCTCTCCTTTGTTGCGGTGATATTCTTGCTGTGTGTACCAGCGTCTTCCATTTGTCCTATCAAAACAAAAACTCATTACTTCTTTCACAAGCAAAAAAAGAACTCATGTACAGAACGTGAAAAAGGAAATAATTTGTTTTACCTTCAAATCAACATAAGTCCTGTGCTTTGCATTATCAAACGCTCTCAGCTTTACATCACGCCACCTGAAGATAAATATGCACATAAAAATTATTTGACCAATATTAGTTTGGTGTAACATTAAACAAATTAGTAACCTTCCGGTCCCAAGTCTCTCCACAGCTTGAACAAGCGCCTCTACTTCTGCAACAGAGAAAGGTCTTCGGATTCTACGCTGTGCCACCTCAGACCGCTTAGGTTTCCGAGGTGGGACAACGTTTAAAGCCTGAGCATGTAGAGGAGGAGAGATAGGAATCAAGGCTCTGGAGTAGACGGGTTTAACCCCAAATGGTGCAGAGGGTTTGGAGTCAAGGTCACTTTCTACAGAGTCACTTGGTTTAGCATGTTTCCCCAGTGATGGGAGACACCTAATGGATAAATAAACACATTAGCAAAAGGGTTGTTTTCTACACAAATGAAGTAAGAAGTAAGACTGACCTAGTTAGAGTGTGAGGTACATTATACGGACGCACGAAATCAGAATCTTTAGGAGAAAATGGTTTTGTGGACTGTGGAGGGTTGGGCTCAAGACAAAAGCTTAAAGTATCTGAAAGAGTGTCTAGAGAGATTCCAGTCTCAAGAAGCATTTTCTTGTCGTCTCTAACTTTTTTCCCATGAACAAGAACACCTATGCGTAATCCACCTTCAAGTATGGTGGTCACAGCTTCCAAGACTGTCCTCTAGCAAAGAGAAACAAATTCTCATCATTATCCAAATACATGAATGACCCATTTCAGACAAAAAGATTCCAACCTTAAGGGAACCAATAGTAGCAGTCTCTGGAACTTCAATGAAAAGTTCAGGAACCTTAAATGACTTGATTCCAAGTTTCACTAATAACATCAAGCAAAAAATTAACAAAGTCAATATAAAACTACAAGTAATGAAAAAAGAAGAAAAAAACCTTAATAGAAAAATATACCATGAGAATCTCTTGATTGTATAGGTGGCTGCTTCTGACAAGCTATGGTTGACAGAAAAGCTGTAAGAAAACAAAAGTTCAAAGTTAACTATCATCATGTAGTTTTTGAGGTTGAAGCTTAAAAGACTAGCTTCTGATTATATACCCTTTCGAGGTGAAACAGAAAGGCCTTCGTTTTTAACTGTTTCTTCTGGTTGTGATGCTATATAACCATCAAAGTATCTTCTCTTCTTGATTGGAAATTTCTTCTCTGATCTTAAGCTTTTGAGACAATGGCTTTTGCTGTAATAGCCAGGCTTCAAGTTCAAGTCTAAACATTATCATAGAAACTCATAAGTAAAATTAAAACATAGATTAAAAAAAAAAACATATGACAGACTAGCCCACAAAATGGGTCCACAACATGCTCACCTGTACTAGGTACCATTGTATCTTTCTGCTTTGAAGAGACTTTACAATACTTTGAAGACAGAACTTTCTTTACTCTTCCATCTCCTACACGCAGTGTAGACCTAAATGATTTTGTTGCGTAACGGGCTGAGAAGTTTTCACCATCCTCATTGTCCATACCATTGAGTAAATCCTTGTTCCTTGATAACTCTGGTTCATAATTTAGCCTCTCAAGCATTGGTTTCTTGTCATTATTATGAGACCTAAAACAATCACCATTGTGGATCTTGGCTTCCTCATAAGGTAATTCTTGAGTTCCAAACTTCTCAGAGGAATCAAAAGTTATACCAGAGGTAGATCCAAATAAGAAATCTTTATTAGGGTTTGGAGATCTATTGAAGCTTTCCATTTCATGAGCTTTTGGAAGGATCTCAGAGACAAAGAAACTCCTCTCAACATTATTATTATTATTATCATGATGATGATCACTATTAGTCTCTTCCACCACCATTTCATCGCCACCATAAACTGGTTCTTTCTTATCTACATTATTATCTCCCGAGGCGTTGTTACTTGAGGAAGAAGAAACCCCACCACTTTCAAGAAGCAGTTTTCCAGCTACTGCAGCCAGCAAATCGAAGGACGATGATGTTTGAATGTTTTCGATTTTCTTCTTGAAAGCACTCTTCTAACAAAACCACAAACAAACAAATAATTGTTAGCATTAAAACCTAAAACTTGTGAAACACGCTAAAGTATAAGAATGTATTTACTCTTGGGGATCTTGCAGCTCGAGGTGTGTGAGGCACCTCATAGCCATTGAATCCATATTCTAGTCTCGTTTGCAACACCATGATTATAAGAACATTTCTCTTTTTTTTTTCTTTTTTTTTGTAAACCCCTTTGTGTGGTGTGGAAACAAACAAAAGTAGTGGACATGATAAGGGTTTAAAGCCATGGTCTTATACCTGTAACACAGGACGTGTGTGAAGAGCGAATAACCGGCTAAAACCAGTAAACCTCAACCCTGAAGACCTGTTCTTCTTTTCTTTCTTGGGTGACCCATCACTGTCTCACGAACTTCCACAACATTCTGACACATGGAGTCTCTGTCGGATCGTGCGCTTTTTTTTAACCACACACTAACTTCGACAATAACGTTGAGTCACAAAGCCTTGTGAGTTTTTTTTAGTTCAAGCCATGTAACCCTTTTTTTTTTCTTTCGGTTAATTTTTCCTTTATTTTCTATTTTATTAGAGTACTTCATTTCATAATTTTGCTCATAGTAGTTTTGAAGTGTCGAAATCTACATATATAGTTATTTAATTCCATAGTTGACCCCCCGTTAATAATGGTGAAAGTCGTATAATTTGTAATCAATTTATGACAATATAGGATTTGTAAACTTGTAATAGTTAAGTTACTATGAAATTTTTATAATTTTTATATTCCAATAAAAGGGAAATTGTTTACGCGAAGAATATATGGTTTACCAATTTGGTTTGATACAACTTCCATAAACTGTTCGTATGAATATATGATTTTTCACTCTTCATCAATAATATAGAACTATGCCTAAATTAGATTAGTGAAATCATGAGGACCCATCAGATTATGCTACTTAAAGGGGAGACATCTTCTCTCATGCCCCTATTTTTTTAAAGGGGGAGTCTCGTAACTGCTTCGTTCTATCTTTGATCATTTTAGGTCTTAATTGCACTCGAGCAGCTATGAATCAAGGAGAATATCCAAACTGGCTGGAGCTTCCGCGGGAGCTGACGTCAACGATTCTAAACCGGCTTGGCGTGATGGAGATACTGGAAAACGCACAGAAAGTGTGCAGATCGTGGCGTCGAATCTGTAAAGACCCCTTGACGTGGCGGAAGATTGACATGCGTAACGTGGGACACATGGGAGGTAGCTCTCACGTGTTAGAGAAGTTGTGCCGTCACGTTGTTGATTGTAGTCAGGGCGGGTTGGTTGAGATCGAGATTTGGCAGTTCGCTACGTATGATCTCCTTCATTACATCGCTGATAGGTTTCGTCTCTCTCTCTTTCTCTCTCTATTCCTTGTTTAGAGAAATGAGTTGCTAAATCTAGGTTTAGTGGAATTGATTTTGTCCGTAGAGGAGAGCTTTCAAGTTCTTATGAAAGCTTGTGAAACTATGGTTGTTATTGGATTCTTACAAAAAAAATAAATTATAGTTGTTATTGGAGGATATTGTGTTACTCTTAAAAGAGTGTGTATCTACTATCAATAGACATAGCTAAGTGAAACATTCGTCTAGGCTCCAAATTTTTCTATATAGACCACCAAATTTGTAAAAAAAATATTTTTTTAATGAAATTTTTTACTAAATTGTTTTCTGTACGCAAAATCTTAGGGTCGGTCATGGGTTGGGTTGAATGACAATGACCAGATTTGTGAGTGTTAGTTAGTCCTCTGCTGTAAAGCTCTCAATCGTTATATTATTCATAGGTCAAAACACGTACATATATATATGAGATGGTCTCAGATGGAATAACTTCCATCCCAAGTAATGACATATTCTAGATCCTAAACTATAGGAAACTTAACATTATCGTATGAATGAGAGATATATGGAATATATCTAATACTCCCCCTCAAGATGGAGAGTGTAGATCGCGAACTCCCATCTTGCAGAGAAGGTAATGAAACTGACGACGTCCGAGAGCTTTGGTTAAAAAATCTGCAATCTGATCATGAGTACCGACATGGAGTGTAGAAATGATCTTGTCTTGAACAGCATCACGAATAATATGGCAGTCGGACTCAATGTGTTTTGTGCGTTCATGAAACACGGGATTTCGAGCTATATGTAGTGCAGATTTGTTGTCGCAGTACATAGGTATTGGCTCTGTTGGTTTAACTCCAAAAGCAACAAGAAGTTCTAACAGCCATTGTAACTCGGAATAAGTATAAGCCATTGAGCGATACTCAGCCTCGGCGGAAGATCTTGAGACAGTAGGCTGTTTCTTTGTTTTCCAAGATATTGGTGTATCACCAAGAAAAATCACAAAACCTGTCAGAGATCGTCTTGTTTTGGGACACGCCGACCAGTCTGCGTCGCAGTAAACTTCAAGATTTAAAGGTGATTGTGAGTCCAAAAACAGACCCTGACCTGGACAACCCTTCAAGTAACGCACTACTCGAACTGCTGCATCCCAATGTTTCTTGCGGGGTTTAGCCATAAACTGTGCGAGAAGATGAACTGCATAGCTAAGCTCTGGGCGAGTGATAACTAAGTATACAAGACGACCCACCAGCCTGCGATACTGAGAAGGATTTGTATGAAATTCTCCAACTTCTTGTCCAAGCGTATGATTTTGCTCTACAGGTGTGTCAAACGGTTTAGAACCTGACAAACCACATTCTGAGATAATGTCCAGTGCGTATTTTCTCTGTGAGAGATAAATGCCACTGTTTGCACGCGAAACCTCTATGCCCAAGAAATATTTTAGAACACCAAGGTCTTTCATGCGGAAACACTTACTCAAGTAAGCCTTGAATTGTGCAGTAAACTCCTCATTGTTACCACCAATTACGAGATCATCCACGTACACGAGAACATAGAGCTTCGTATCACCATTGACATAGGAGAACAGAGAATAGTCTTTACGATTCTGGATGAAACCGAATTTAAGGAGAGCCTGAGAAAGCTTGGCAAACCAGCAACGTGGTGCTTGTCTGAGCCCATAGAGCGACTTACGGAGTTTACAAACAGCGTTCTTCTGAGGAGAAGAGAAACCTGGAGGCAGGCGCATATATACTTCTTCATCTAAATCGCCATGCAAAAATGCATTGTGCACATCCATCTGATATAAGCTCCAATTTTCTGTGGCAGCTATCTTGAGTAGAACTCGTACAGTAGTTAATTTGACTACTGGTGCGAATGTTTCGTTAAAATCTTCACCCTCTTGCTGTTGGTTTCCATAGGTGACAAGACGAGCTTTAAATCGCTCGATGGTGCCGTCTGAGTTGTATTTGATTTTGAAGACCCATTTACATCCTAGAGCATGTTTACCCGGAGGAAGAGTAGTCACATCCCATGTATGTTGGTCCTCCAGTGCTGTGATCTCGGACGCCACTGCTTCTCTCCATACTTTTTCAAGCATTGCCGCTTTGAAACTGGTAGGTTCTTTTGATTTAAAAACGGCAGCGAGAAATGCTTTCTGCGAAGGAGAGAAGATATCACAAGATACATAATCAGTTAGTGGATAAAGACACTTACTTGAAGAACTAGGATGTGATGTTGGTGAAGCTCGAGGGGGTTTATCATGCAGAGTTGCAGAGTTTGTGACATAATCTTTGAGAAGGACTGATGGCTTAGATTTTCTATGACCACGACCGAGTTCTTCATGTGTTATGTTCTGTTCTTCTGAGGCAGCAGCAACAGGTTCAGTATTTTCCGCAAGAGATGGAGGAGATGTATCTGGAATAGGCGATGCAGGTTCTCCCCCTGTCTCAGCTGAAACTGGCGCGATGTCTGGAACATTAACCACAGGCGGAGGTTCTTGAGATATGATTATCTCGTCAAAGAAAGTCGGCTGAGAGAGTGGGTTAAAGAGAGCTTCGGACTGTGGCTGAAACTCTGAATATGGGAACACATCCTCGTGAAATATGACATCTCGAGATACAAATGTTTGCTCAGTCTGTAGATCAAAGACGAGCCAGCCTTTCTTGCCGTGTGGGTACCCAAGAAAAATACACCGAGTTCCACGATCTTCGAACTTATCTGTGGAACGGCGAACTTTTCTAGCATAACACAAGCACCCAAATGTCCGTAGATCTTGATATGCTGGTGGTCGTTTTGATAGGACTTCAAATGGAGACTTCCCGTGGAGGAGAAGAGAAGGCGTCCTGTTTATCAGATGTGTAGCTGCCAAGATACTTTCACCCCAAAACCGTATGGGAAGTTTAGCCTCCATTAGTAGTGATCTTGCTATGTTGAGAATGTGACGATGCTTGCGTTCCACTCGTCCGTTTTGTTGTGGAGTAGCAACACACGAGGTTTGGTGTACAATCCCTTGTGAGTCGAAATACTTCTTGAGACATGTAAACTCTGTTCCGTTATCAGTTCTGATGATTTTCACTTGCTTGTTGAACTGTCGATCTACAAGAGCAAAAAAATTTCTCAAGACGTTTCCTACTTCAGACTTCTCGAGAAGCAAGAACGTCCAGAGAGCTCGTGAGAAGTCGTCTACTATGGTTAGGAAATATGATGCACCACATGATGATTTTTCTCTGTACGGTCCCCACACATCGCAATGAATCAAGGAAAATAAATCATCTGCTTTATTAGAACTCTCATGAAAAGTTACACGAGTTTGTTTTGCACGATTGCAAGTATCACAAAGCTCATCTAAATCACTATTGCTTGAAGAGAAATTTCCTAAATCTGAAAGAAAAGACAACACTTTCGACGACGGATGTCCCAAACGTCGATGCCACAAATTTCTAATATCCTTCTTGCTGGTATGATTTGCTTGAGGAAGAACCGAACCAGAAAGATGATAAACCCCTTCGCGCTCTTCACCCGCACCAATCAAAGTCCTCGAAGCTAGGTCCTGTATCACACAAAACTGTTTAGTAAATATGACAACACTTGCAATCTCATTAAGTAATTGTGAAACTGAGATCAGAGTAATCGAAAGTTGAGGTGCATAGAGCACGTTGTGTAGGATAAGCTTTCCGCCAAGGTTTAGTGTTCCATGACGTGTTGCCCAAGTAACTCCGCCATCAGGTAAAGAGATTGCAACCGCATTGATAGGTTTGAGATTCGTCAGGAGATTAATGTCACCGGTCATATGATGCGACGCTCCAGAATCTATGATCAAGTCGTATTTGCTGTGTGTGCCATAAAGAATGAGGGTTTGTTTCTTACCAGAGAGTTTCTCCTTAGTCTGTTGTTGATTAACAAAATTTGCTATCGAATTCCATTGACTCCGAGTAAGATTTGGAATGCCTGCATCTGAAGTTGCAGTATCATTAGCGACTGTATGTTGTTGTCTTGCTACTTCGGCTTGATTCGCAGTCGGTCCACTGCGACCTCTTCCTCTACCTCTGTTTGATCCTCTTCCACGTCCTGCTGATCCACGACCAGAAGAATATGTTTGCTCACCAAACCATTCCGGATATCCAATGATCTTGTAACATTGGTGTTTCTCATGACCTGTTTTTCCACAATGAGAACATGTTACCGACTGACTCTGTTTTGCTGCTGCAGCCGTTACCGAGAAACCAACTACTCCTCCTGTTTCTGGTTTTTCTTGAGTAACTTCAAGATGTCTCTCTTCTTGGGTGATCGTTGAATAAACTGTCTCCATGGAGTAATCATCGAGCCGGCTAAGTAGGTTTGATCTTGCTGTACCAAATCTGCTTTTATCAAGTCCCATAAGGAACTGATGCATGAGGATTTTCTCTTGTGTCTTTCGGAATTTTATCATCGATGCACATCTATCCTGTCCACAGCAACATTGGAAAGATCCATCAAAACCTGAGAGATCATCCCATAAGACTTTCAGCTTCCCGTAGTAAACTTCCACTGATTGTCCATCTTGTTTACAGGCTGAGATATCAGCTCGTAGTTGATGAACACGAGTATCATCTCCTGTAGAGAACCTTGCTTTTAAATCAGACCACATGACTGAAACATCGGACACAAGTGATATTGATGTCCGTAGATGTGGCTCGATGCTGCTGTATATCCAGCCGATGATCATGGCGTTTACCATGTCCCACCGTTCGGCTTGATCTTCTTCTTTTGGTCGTTTTAGAGTTCCGTGGAGAAACCCTAATTTTCTTTTGGTACGAAGGGAATTTGTCATTAACTTTGCCCATCGTTCATAGTTGGATCCGTTTAATAAAAACGGAGTCTGAACTTGCCCTGTATGATCAGAGGCATGTAGAAAGTATGGAGAAATCAAACTTCTGTCGATCGTGTCGATTTCTTTGGTAGTATTTCCTGACATGATTTTTCTTTTATTTGAGAGCAAGAAAAATTACAGGCCAAAGGGAGGCTCTGATACCATGTAAAACTCTCAATCGTTATATTATTCATAGGTCAAAACACGTACATATATATATGAGATGGTCTCAGATGGAATAACTTCCATCCCAAGTAATGACATATTCTAGATCCTAAACTATAGGAAACTTAACATTATCGTATGAATGAGAGATATATGGAATATATCTAATATCTGCCCTATCCATTTTGGAGAAGAAAGTTGATTCTGTAGTGTTATGCTTATGAGGTCTAAATAGTTAGCTTAAAAGGTTATTGGGATGCTTGGAAGAGAGTTTTTGTCTTCTTGTCCTTGAGCTCTATCCTTTGATTATGTTTTTTCTAACGTTTAATACATCTATTTTTGCAGTTCAAGTAAGTTGAGAAGCCTAAAACTTGCAATGTGCTATCAAATAGAAAGCGAGGGACTTACAGAAGTAATTATGAAACTTCCTTTACTAGAAGTCCTCGAGTTTTCATACTGCTCATTGTCAGGAGCGCGTCTGGAACATATCGTCCAAGACTCTTGTTTTAATCTGAAGTTGGGGGAAAACTGTGATGATGTTGCTCTAGCAATTGCTGAAACAATGCCCGGACTCACCCGCCTTCAGCTTTTCGGGAACAGATTAACAAACCTCGGTTTAAACGCCATTCTTGACAAGTGTCCTAACCTTGAATATCTTGATCTACGTCAGTGCATCAATGTTAACCTTGTTGGGGATCTTGAGAAGCGGTGTTCCGAGAGGATCAAAGTTTTGAAACGCCCTAATTATAATGACTCGGTTCATGACTACTCTTATGGTGTCTCTGATGACGATGAAATGTCAGTGGATGGGCTTTACTACGATAACCTCTCAGCTGCAAGTGACGATTCTGACTTTGAGGTTTGATTATTACGATGTTGTGCGTTTATAGATGCATTGGATGACCTCATAGTTTCGGTGGACTTTGTGTGCCCATGTTTAATGTGTGGTCTTTATTAGTATTGGCCTTTTGTCTTTCTACAATATCTAAACTCGAATAAAGTTTCTAACTATATGCCAAGATTAGATGAAATCAAATGAGGAGGCAAGAGAGCTGATATCAGCAGTTATACCATACAATTCAGCAAAATAAAAATCATTTTTCTTCCCTATAATTTCCTTACCTTCATTGTATCGTTTTATAAACAATAACAAAAGCTATTTTGACCCTATGCAAAATGCAAGCAATCTTGTAACACGTACAAGTTACTTCGTTTTTCCCTAGAAATATTATACAATTAATATACAGATATTTAAATGGAAGAAAGATATATTCACCTTAATTATTATTACTTCATTCGAGTAGTAATAGGAATATTGTTTCGTGTGTGTATATTAACGTGTCCAGTAGAAAGATTTTAATGTTCTTATCGCCTCTACACAAAAAAAAAAAAGAAAAAAAAAGGAGCAGCCATGTCTTGTCTTCTCAAGCGGCTCCAGCTATGTTTCCGAGTAAAGCTACCTCCTTATTCTCATTGTCTAGTCACATGGACGTTATTTATTTTTATGTTTTACAAACTATTATTTTGCAGAGAAACCTCACCCGTTCTCGGTGCTTCACGTCCTCCCCGATTTATTATGTTAGAGGTGCTGAACCATGTGAATATCGAGATACCGGAACTATCAAGATTCCTTCTCTTAAGGTCCCTATGGAGTTACTCAAAGAGGTGGGAATCATAGGAGCTTCCCATGGCTGGGTTGCAACTTTGAAAAATGGGATTGTGTGTCTTCAAGATGACCTAGATCTCCACGCACCAGATACTGACCCAAAACGCATATCTCTGCCTCCTCTTGAAACTCTGCCTCATTGCCAAACCCAAATAGTAACCAACATAGCCATGTCCTCTTCCTCTCCAGAGGATGAAGACTGCATCGTGGCTGTCAAGTTCTTGGGACCTCAGCTAAGCTTGTGTAGGCCTGCTCAGAGAGATTGCAAGTGGATCAACATCAGAATCTCAGATCCTAGCTTCTCCTCCTCCCATGTAATGTACTCCAAGAGAGATGAGATGTTCTCCATGCCGTCTTCTGGATACCAAAATTATTATATAAGTTATTTATATCAAAATTAAAATGAGGGTCCTATTAAAAAAAAACTAGAAAATCTATGTTTTATAAAAAAATTATTCATTATTAGTATTATTTTTGAAACTCTTACTTGCATTAACTATCATGATTTTGTCAATCGTTATCTTTTTCTATTTAATTGAACATTCTATTTTTTTTTTCTGTTTTTAATTATAAGTTTAATTATACAATATATCATATATATATATATATATATATAAATAATATGATTGGAAAATTTGTTTAAGAGGCTAAATATATTAATGTAGGCTAAATATATTTTCATGGTACATGGTCATCATTTCTAACTTTCCAAAGAGTAATTTTTTTTTAAACTTCATATAAGATCTAATTAGTTTACTAATCCCTATAAAATTTCTATTTTGGAACACGTAAGATTTTAAACCTCTTTAATATTCATACTATGTTAGTGAATGATCCAAATATTCATTAAAACAAAAATACTAAAATTTTTAATATTTCTTGAAATATGTGAGTTAACCCCTTATAAAAAAATTGAATTTTTCGACAAATACTATCTATAATTTTTAGACACATTAGTGTTGTTTAAAAATACATAAACACACCCTCAATGTATATTAATGTAGGGCAAACATGCTTTCATGGTACATGGTCATCATTTCTAACTTTCCAACGAGTAATTTATTTAAACTTCATATACAGTCTAATTAGTGTACCAACCTCTATAAAACTTCTATTCCTAGAGAAATGAGAACAGATAAGGTCCCAAACCTATTTAATCTTCATACTAAGCCAGATAATGATGCAAATATGCATTAAAACAAAAATACGAATTTATTTTAAATTTTTTTGAAATATGTGGGTTAACCCTATGAAAAAATTGAAGTTTTTGAAAAATGCTATCTATAATTTTCTAAACACATTAGTGTTGTTTAAAAATACCTAACCACACTTTAAATGTATATTAATATAAGCTAAATATATCTTCATGGTACATGGTCATCATTTTTAATTTTCCAAAGAGTAATTTATTTAAACTTCATATAAGATCTAATTAGGGTACTAATCCTATAAAATTTCTATTTTCTTTAGAAATTGGAACACATATGGTCTCAAACTTCTTTAATCTTCATACTAAGCTAGAGAATGTTGCAAATATGCATTATAACAACAACAAAAACAATTCTATTTTTTTTTTGAAATATGTGGGTTAACCCCTATGAAAAAATTGATTTTTTTTTTAAAATGCTATCTATAATTTCTTAGACACATTAGTGTTGTTTAAAAATACCTAACCACACTCTCGCTGTATATTAATGTAGAATAAATATATTTTCATGGTACATGGTCATCATTTCTAACTTTCCAAAGAGTAATTTTTTGAAACTTCATGTAAGATCTAATTAGTGTACTAACCCCTATAAGATCTCTATTATGGAACACGTAAGGTCTTAAACCTCTTTAATATTCATACTATGTTAGTGTATGATGCAAATATTCATTAAAAAAAAAGATAGTAAAATTTTTAATATTTCTTGAAATATGTGAGTTAACCCCTATGAAAAAATTAAATGTTTCGAAAAATGCTATCTATAATTTTTTTGACACATTAGTGTTGTTTAAAAATACCTAACCACACTCTCAATGTATATTAATGTATGGTAAATATGCTTTCACTTCTAACTTCCCTATGAGTAATTTATTTAAACTTCATATATAGTTTAATTAGTGTACTAACCTCTATAAAATTTCTATTTTCTAGAGAAATGGGAACATATAAGGTCCCAAACCTCTTTAATCTTCATACTAAGCCTTACAATGATCCAAATATGTATTTAAACAAAAATACGAAATTTTCTATTTTTCTTGCAATATGTGGGTTAACCCCTATGAAAAAATTGAAATCTTTGAAAAATGCTATCTACAATTTTCTAGACACATTAGTTTTGTTTAAAAATACCTAAGCACGCTCTAAATGTATATTAATGTAGGCTAAATATATCTTCATGGTACATGGTCATTATTTCTAACTTTCCAATGAGTAATTTGTATTATGGTACAAGGTCTAATCAGTGTATTAACCTCTATAAAACTTCCATTCCGAGAGAAATGAAAACATATAAGGTCTCAAACCTCTTTAATCTTCATACTAAACCAGATAATGATGAAAATATGCATTAAAACAAAATAAAAAAATTTCTAATTTTTTTGAAATATGTGGGTTAACCCCTATGAAAAAATTGAAATTTTCGAAAAATGCTATCTACAATTTTTTAGACACATTAGTGTTGTTTAAAAATACCTAACCACAATTTAAATGTATATTAATGTATGCTAAATATATCTTCATGGTACATGGTCATCATTTCTAACTTTCCAAAGAGTAATTTATTTAAAACTTCATAAAAGATCTAACTAATGTACTAACCCCTATAACATTTCTATTTTCTAGAAAAATAGAAACACATAAGGTCTCAAACCTATTTAATCTTCATACTAAGCTAGAGAATTTTTCAAATATGCATTAAAACAAAAATTTTCTCATTTTTCTTGAAATATGTGGGTTAACCCCTATGAAAAAATTAAAATTTTTGAAAAATGCTATCTATAATTTTCTAGACACATTAGTGTTGTTTAAAAATACCTAACCACACTTTAAATGTATAGTAATGTATGCTAAATATATCTTCATGGTACATGGTCATCATTTCTAACTTTCTAAAGAGTAATTTATTTAAACTTCATATAAGATTAGTGTACTAATCCCTATAAAATTTCTATTTTCTTGAAAAATTGGAACACATAAGGTCTCAAATCTCTTTAGTCTTCATACTAAGATAGAGAATATTGCAAATATGCATTATAACAACAACACGAAATTTTCTAATTTTTCTTTAAATATGTGGGTTAACCCCTATGAAAAATTGATTTTTTTTTTGAAAAATGCTATCTATAATTTTTTAGACACATTAGTGTTGCTTAAAAATACCCAACCACACTCTCGATGTATATTAATGTAGGCTAAATATATTTTCATGGTACATGGTCATTATTTCTAACTTTCCAAAGAGTAATTTTTTTAAACTTCATATAAGATCTAATTAGTATACTAACCTCTATAAAATCTCTATTTTAGAAAAAGTAAGTTCTTAAACCTCTTTAATATTCATACTATGTTAGTGAATGATGCAAATATTCATTAAAAAAAATACTAAAAATTTTAATATTTCTTGAAATATGTGAGGTAAGCCCTATGAAAAATTGATTTTTTTCGAAAAATGCTATCTATAACTTTTTAGACACATTCGTGCTGTTTAAAAATACCTAACCACACTCTCAATGTAAATTAATGTATGGTAAACATGCTTTCATGGTACATGGTCATCATTTCAAAATTTTCAATGAGTAATTTATTTAAACTTCATATGTAGTTTAATTAGTGTACTAACTTCTATAAAATTTCTATTTTCTAGAGAACTGAGAACATATAAGGTCTCGAACCTCTTTAATCTTCATACTAAGCCTTACAGTGATGCAAATAGGTATTAAAACAGAAATACGAAATTTTCTAATTTTTCTTGAAATATGTGGGTTAACCCCTATGAAAAAATTGAAATTTTTGAAAAATGCTGTCTACAATTTTCTAGACACATTAGTGTTGTTTAAAAATATCTAACCAAACTTTAAATGTATATTAATGTATGCTTGATATATCATCATGGTACATGGTCATCATTTCTAACTTTCAAAAGAGATATTTATTTAAACTTCATATAAGATAATTAGTGTACTAATCCCGATAACATTTCTATTTCTTGAGAAATTGGAACACATATGGTCTCAAACCTCTTTAATTTTCATAATAAGCTAGAGAATGTTGCAAACATGCATTATAACAACAACACAAAATTTTCTAATTTTTCTTGAAATATGTGGGTTAACCCTTATGAAAAAATTGAGTTTTTTGAAAAATGCTATCTATAATTTCTTAGACACATTAGTGTTGTTTAAAACTACCTAACCACACTCTCGATGTATATTAATGTAGGCTAAATAAATTTTCATGGTACATGGTCATCATTTCTAACTTTCCAAAGAATAATTTGTTTAAACTTCATATAAGATCTAATTAGTGTACTAACCCCTATAAAATCTCTATTTTGGAACACGTACGTTCTTAAATCTATTTAATATTCATACTATGTTAGTGCATGATGCAAATATTCATTAAAACAAAAATACTAAAATTTTTAATATTTTTTGAAATATGTGGATTAACCTCTATGAAAAAATTGAAATTTTTGAAAAATGCTATCTACAATTTTCTAGACATATTAGTGTTGTTTAAAAATACCTAACCACACTTTAAATGTATATTAAAGTATGCTAAATATATCTTCATGGTACATGGTCATCACTTCTAACTTTCCAAAGAGTAATGTTTTCTAAACTTCATATAAGATCTAATTAGTGTACTAACCGCTATAAAATCTCTATTTTGGAACACGTAAGGTTTTAAACCTCTTTAATATACTATGTTAGTGCATGATGCAAATATTCATTAAAACAAAGATACTAAATATTTTAATATTTCTTGAAATGTGCGACTTAACCCCAACGAAAAATTTGAATTTTTGAAAAATGCTATCTTTAATTTTCTAGACACATTAGTGTTGTTTAAAAATACCTAAACACACTTTAAATGTATATTAATGTAGGCTAAATATATCTTCATGGTACATGGTCATCATTTCTAACTTTCCAAAGAGTAATTTATATAAACTTCATATAAGATCTAATTAGTGTACTAACCCCTATAACATTTCTATTTTCTAAAGAAATGGGAACACATAAGGTTTCAAACC